CTTTTAAAAGACTCCCACTTTTCAAATGCAGATGCCCCTGGTCTATGTTTGCCAGATCCTGTCTAATGATGTTGAAATCAGCCTTCCCTGAATTTAGACACTTACCTTCTGCACTATCCTTATCCATTTCCATGCGAACTTTGAAACTTACAGAATTATGATCACTATCCCAAAAATGCTCGCCTTGACTGGCTTCGATACCTCGGGATAGGTCCAGCACTTCCCCGTCTCTAGGAAGGACTATTGACTTACTGATACCAAAAGATTTCCTGGAACCACTTTAAAAATTCAACCCCATTTAATCCTTTCACACTGAAGTGACCCAACCAGTTAATGTTATTAATGTTGGCAAAGTTGAATTCCCCTACAACTCCAACGATGTTTCTCTCACACCTTTCTGTGATTTATCTATGTATTTGCTCCCCTATCTCCCCTTGACCGATAGGAGGCCTGTAGTATAATGCCAGCAAGGTTATCACTTTTTTTTATTTATAAGCTCTATCAGATGGCATCGTTTGAAGACCCTTCTAAAATATCCTCCCTTATGACTGCAGCAATGGTTTCCTTTATCAGTAATGCAAAAACACCACCTCTTTACTTACCGCTCCACTGCCCCTATACCTTGGAATGTTGAACTACCAGTCCAGTTCTTCCTTCAAACACGTCTCAGTAATTGCAATAATATCAGAGTCTCACATGCTGATTAATGTTCTTAGCTAATCCACTTTGCCAGTCAAGCTCTTTGCATTAAAATAGACACAATTTAGCTTTCTAGACTTTCCATATTCCTTATCCTGCCCATGTCTTCTCTGCCTACTGATGTGTCCGACCAGTCCTTCTATATCTGATTGGACCTTGCCGCTGATTTTACATCTACTCTGTGCTTCATGTCCCTGTCAAATCAGTTTAAATCCTCCCCAACAACAGGGGCAAACCATCCAGCAATGATATTTGATCCATTTCAGTCCTGGCTAAATATAAGCTCTCTACTTAGAAGTGGCACATCTCTCCATGATATCCTGAAGTCTTAGTCTTAAGATTTAAAATGGAAAATATAAATAAATCATGTTCATTGACAACTGTCAAAGAATAGTGAAGAGTAACATAATTCGGTCTTAAAAGTGCTCGTGAAGATATCAGATTATGCAATAAAAATGGAATTTGTTGATTTTTTTATTCGTTCATGGGATGAGGGCATTGCTGGCTAGGCCAGCATTCATGACCCATCCCTAATTGCCCAGAGGATAGTCAAGAGTCAACTACATTGCCTTGGATCTGGAGTCACAGTAGGTCAGACCAGGTAAGGATGGCAGTTTCCTTCCCTAAAGGACAGCAATGAACCAGATGGTTATTTTTTCTGACAATCGTCAATCGGTTAATAGTCATCATTAGACTCTTAATTCCAGATTTTTATTGAATTCAAATTTCACCATCTGTCATAGCAGAATTTGAATCTGGGTCCCCAGAAAATTAGTTGGGTCTCTGGACTAATACTTCAGCAATAATACCACTAGCCTATCGCCCTCCTTCAGCAATAGTAAAACAGTGGCCTTGATGATGTCACTTCATATGACATAAAAACCCACACTGTTACCTCTAATGTATAGTGTGTTGTGCTAGAAATACTTTAAAATATTTGCATATATCAAATACTTCCTGAAAGATTAACATTCAGTCCTTTCACTCTTTAGATGACACACTTCAGTCTTTCCATTGACTTAGTGTGAGAAACTCCAAGGCAGATTTGCTATGTTTTATAGTTTTACCAACAGCACAAAAACAAAAGTCCAGATAAATATACGTTCATTGATGGATTCTTGCCTGTGCATACTTAAATTTATGAGATAAGCAGAGAAGTTGCAAAACATCAGTGGAGCTTAAAAATAGGTAACATTTCCTCATCCCATAATTTACATACTCTTATTCTTGATATTTGAACTCTAACTAAATAGAAAATTGATCACAGTTATAGAACAAAGTAGTGTGCATTTGGATTTAAATGTCTCTTTTCCTGCAGTACCCTGATTGGTCCTACTCTCGGCACTTCCAACACTGCATCAGTAACATCCATTTCCACTGGATTTGAAGTCATTGCACAGGGATGATACTTCATTTTTACTCATCTGATTGTTTCCATTTCTTGTACTAGCCATAATTTATGGCACATGATTGTCAGATTTAGTGCTAATTTATGCTAATTTATGAGTGTTTTCATGCCCAGGCAAGCATTTGGAGTCATGGTACCTAATTTAAATCTAACTCAATCATATCGAGGTGAAGAAGGTAGGTGACATAGCTGTCTCAAGTACTCAATTGGTTTTTTATGAGCTGCCATTGAACTTACGAAATGCTAGTTACTGGTTGATGATTGGGGTCAAAGCAAGACTGAAACACTGCAGCCAGCTCATTCATTATATCTGGAAACAATAATGTCGTATTGTAAATTAACATCCAATTTATGAGCACTCAGTAATCTTCAGAATTAGTAATTCAAGGTCATTCTGACTTCTTCTTCAATCCTCACCACAAATGTCATCCAAAAACTACCAAGTCAATTCCTTTCTCTGACAACTATCTGAGACTGAGCAAAAAAAAAATTCACAACTTTGGTGCCAAATCTAATGTGAGGTGATCTCCCATCCACATATCAACTCCTTAACTAAGATCATCCATTTCCAACCTGTGACATGCTCTGACTCTGCCCCACCTCAGTTTATTTGCTACCAAACCCTCATCCATGCATTTGATACCTCTATTGCAACACTCTTTTTCAGCTTTGCACTCTCCATAAATTTGAGATCATTCAAATTCCACCTCCTGCGTGCAAACGTCCATTAAATTTCCTTCACCTATCTTCCCCAATCTCACTGACTTCCAGTGGCTCTTGAATAAGCAATGGTTCAATTTTTTCATGCATAACCTGACCTTTCCTCATCACTATATTCTCCACTAGTCCCAAACCTTTCAAAATATCTATTCTCCCATTCTGGCCTTCTGCACATCCTCTATTTTATTTGCCCCTCCATTGGCAGCCATGCTTTCAGATGCCAAAGCTTTAAAATTTACAATTTTCTTTACAAACCTCTCTGCCCCACCCATTTATTTTTCTTCTTTTAAAATGTTCCTTAAAACTTCTTTGCTCATACTTTGATCATCCACACTATTATGTCCTTATGTGGCTCAGTGTCAAAATTTGTTTGATGATGCTCTTGCAAATTGCTTTACAACTCTGACTGGTATGACTTCAGCTAATGGGAACACTGGAGAGGTCAGAATCCAGACCCGGTTTGATTGACCATAAATTTTTATTTTGCTATTTGCTTTCCATGTTGGTCAGTCATTTAATGTATTCATAGGGCGGCAGGGTGGCTCAGTGGTTAGCACTGCTGTCTCACAGCACCAAGGACCTGGGTTTGATTCCACCATCAGGTGACTGTGTGGAGTTTACACATTCTCTCTTTGTCTGCATGGATTTCCTTTGGGCGCTCCAGTTTCCTCCCACAGTCTAAAGAAATGCAGGTTAGGTGGATTGGCCATGTTCAATTGCGCATAGTGTACAGGGATGTGTAAATTAGGTGGATTAGCCATGGGAAATGCAGGGTTACAGGGATAGACTGGGGGGGTGGGTGTGAGTCTGGGTGGGATGCTCTTCAGAGAGTCAGTGTGGACTTGTTGGGCCAAATGGCGTGTTTCCACACTACAGGGAATCTATTAAAAGAGACTGCCAATGCACTTTTAACAAATGAACATCAAAGTCTATTACACACAAAAGCAAAGGAAACCACTGAATTCTTTCAAATGGTCTTATTACAAAAATCAGAAATAAAGATTCAACCCTTTTATCTTCAACAACAACCTTACAAAACTGTGCCATTACAACTTTTCCAATTTATCATGGCACAGTAGAGCACATTACAACCTCTTCTGGCACTAGAAACACACTTTAAGCACTCCAAATATCACCTGAGGAAAATATAAGAAGTGGCCCATTCATCTCGTCAAGGCTGCTGCCCCATTCAGTCCAATTAGATCATAACCATCATCTATGTCAATGCATCTTTCCTGCATAATTTTCATAGCTTTTTATGTTATTTGTCTTTACAAATTTGATTTCTAACTTGAATATGCTCAAAGTTTAAGCTGCCACAGCCCTTTGGGGATTTATCATCCTATGTGTGAAGAAATTCCTTCTTATCTCATTCTTAATGGCAGACTTCTCAATCTGAGATTATCAATCCTTTCTCACACTAACCGACATTGGCTCTGAGGCAATGAGTAAGCCTTGACCCAAGGAATCTTTCATCTCCATTAGTTCTCTGATGAAGTCATTAGTTTGGCAAAGGACAATAGTGTCACGAACTCTTTACCAATACTCTGATGTAGAATGTAGGATCATCAGATGGACATCACAGTTAATTCGAGAATTATCTGAGTGGTTCTAAAGTTGTTATCCTTGTTCTTGTAAAATGACATGTCAGATAATCTACTTTATAGATTTATCTGAATTAGTATCTTTGACTATATGTCTTCCCACTCCAGAATTTATCAAGGAATCTGTCAAGAACACGTGATGCTAAACTTATTGAATTTAACTTCTGGAGTCCTTATAACGGCACACATGCAGTGTCTACTGTATACTTCCAGCAATACTGCATTATTGGGTTAATCAGGCCATCTGAATGATAGTACATATTTTCACTCAAATATTCCCTTATATGGATAAATCTATGAAAGTAAAGGCTGCATCAATGGATAGCTTTTATGCAATGAAAACTAAGTTAGTGATGATTTTAAAATATATTGGGATATGTTATTTTATAATTGAAATTAGCATTTATTTAATGAAAATGCTTTATCAACTTTTGTCTTTCATTTTCATATTTTCAATGGTCATTAATCCAACTACTTGCCACATTGCACTATAAATAAAAACAATTAGCACATTTTAATCTTTTTTTGAATGCAAAAATAAATTCTGGAATAGATTTAGTTGATCTTACCTTGTATAACAAAGGTGCCTTTCCAAGTTTAATTAGTGCAATTTTTTTGGTAACATTGGTGCTTGATTGAAGTTGGAGCAGATCATCAATTGTTCCATATTGTACATCAATGATCTCTGTCTGAAAATGAGTGTTTTCAATATTCATTAAACAGTTTCTGTATTGCATTTGACAGTTTAATGGTTTAATTATAATACTGGCATAAAATAGTCAAAAATAGTTATATGTATTAGTTTAATATCAATCTTCATAAGCAGTGAAAAATTCCCAACGAGTGTTTCCACTGTCAGCTAGAAAAAAATCTATGTAATCCAATTATTTTCAACTTCAAGAAGTTAAACATCCCATTGTGTAGAAAAAGACGTAACACAAAGCTGCATTTATAACATTGTCATTATTCAGCAGTGCTAATACAGCGAAATCCTGTTTAATTGCAATTTTCATTTTAATCCAAACATTTCAAAAAACCTATTTTTGCCGTGTACTGCAATTCTAATTGTCAGAAGTTCACTATCTTGCCATTTCATTTATTATAATTCCTACTTATATGTAAGTGCAATGCACAGAAACCTCTCCTACACCAGACTTATCACTCTTGAACTTGAAGGACTAGATGAAATGAGAACCAGGTTAAAAAATGAACTTATGAAAGGGATGGTCATCATAGGTGAAACCTTGCTCGAGTAGCTTGATCTTAAAAGAGCTAAGAAAATCCTGCTTTTCAACTGACTGCTTCAAGTCGAAGTAACGAATCAAGATAAGAAATTGAGTCACATGCTCATTTACAAAACTGAAGACAGAAAATGCTGGAGAAACCCAACAGGTTTGGCAGCACCTGTGCAGAAAGAATTCCAGTTGATGTTTTGTGTCCAATATAATTCTTCTTCATCCAAAGAACCAAATTTTTGTTTGACAATGCTCATGTTAAATGCCTTCGAACTTTTGACTATGGTATGATCTCAGCTGTCAATAATACTAGAGAAGTTAACTGTTAATTCAAAATGTAACTGTTCGTTTCTTCTCAGATGTTGAGAGACCTGCTGAGCTTCTCCAACTCTTTGATTTATTTCACAACTCCAGCATCTGCAGTACTTTATTTTTATTTGCTTGTTTACAAAAACCTATGCAGATAAAACTAGATAGCAATAAACCTATTTTTGATGCATGGACTGATTAAAGTACTACGCTTGTTAGCACCTGATTGCACTTACATTGGTCTAAGAAAATAATTTCCTATGTCCTACCTCATCAAACATATACAAACACAGAAACAAGATGAGTGCTGGAAAATTTAAAAAAAGCACCCTACATAGTTGATGTGAGGTAAGCTAACTGGCTTGGTTTAATCGAAATCTTCCATGATTTAAGAAAGACATCTTCCAGATTTAAGAAAGGATATTCTGGCATTGGACGCAATTAATAAGAGATTCACTATTTTGATTCCTAGGGTGAAAGGGTTGGTTTTATCAAGAAGGGCCAAACAGGTTATTCATTATAGTTTAGAAGAATGAGGGGATGATCTTATTGAAACTTGAACTTGGAACCCCAGATACAGAATCAAGGGGCATTCATTTTACATTTAGATGCAAAGGAATTTCTTTTCTCTGAGGGTACTGAATGTCTGGAATTCTCTACACCAGAGAGTTGTGGAGGCTAGATCATTGAAAGTATTTGCAAAGTAGGTGGATAGATTTTTGAAATATTGAGGAGTTGAGGGCTATGAGGACCTGGCACAAAAGTGAAGTTGAGGCCTGGGGCAGATCAGCCTTGATCATATAGAATGGTGAGATAAGCCTGAGGGGACAAAGGTTCTATGTCTGCTCCTACCTCTTTTGTTCTTATGATTGGGAAAATCAATGCATTCAAACAAATTTGATAAAGGAGAAACTTTCAATAACAAAATGCATGAAACAAACAGCATGATAGTGACGAGACATTTTGTATATTTTGCAACAGAAATGAATAGCACTTAAATGTTACAATTTGAAATTTAATTATGTCAAGTAACAGGTTTGGTTCAGAAGCAGCGTACCCACAATGTTAACTGAGTAGATTGTGAGTTTATTTCTTTCTACCTGATTTATAAACAAGATCTAGGCTGACGCTTCCATGTATTATTGAGACAGAAACAAAGACATTTTTATTCCCTTAAACAGAACTTTTCAGAAAAAAACAACTTTTTTGATATAACATACCTCCTTGAAAGATGGGTCATAAACCCAGATGTGCTAGCCCAGAGGCAGAAATTATGATAGCACCACATTAGAAAATATCTGAGACTAAGTAGTTAATGAAACTGTACAGAGATGTTATTACACATCTCTGGAGCAGGTGGGACTTGAACCCATGTCTCATGCATTAAATAAAAGGACACTACCACTCCACCATAACAGCCCCTCACTACTCAGTGTTCAATATTTTCTAATGAACCTATTCAGAAGTGTAATATCACACCTATGGAATAGGTGGGACTTGAACACATGCCTCCTGACTCGGAGGGAGGGACACCATCATTGTTCCACAAGGACCCTATTACTCAGTCTTTGTTTGTTTCAATAACTCTTCAGTTTTACCCTTTTTCCACACACTAGTTACATCTGCTCCCCCTGTATATCAACCGAGTCAGTCAGTTAATTAACCCCATTCACCTATTTAACTACTTGCTATATCAACACATTATTAAATAAGTCCTGCAGCCTTGGAGATGGCTTCGTAACACACTGAACTGTGATATTTTCTCGTCTCTCACCGGACATAAAAGATCCCATATTACGATGAGCTAGCAAGTAAGAAAAATTGAGGTTGTTGAATCTTGTTGAATGGTAGGGCAGGTTTGAGGGGCCAAATGGCCTATTCTTGCTCTTATTTCTCATGTATCCCAGGAAGCAGGATGTGTCAAGACCCCACAAGAATGAATGGATCGGTAATTTATCTCATTGTTGCTTTTGAAACAAATGGTTATGACATTTCTATCTATTATATTGTTAAGTACTCCGTAACTACTTAATTGGCCACGAAGCAAATTGGGAGGTTAGAAAATACAAAGTCATTATATAAAGGTAAGACATTTCTTTTAATTTGCTTTAATTTTAAAAGAACCCTACCAATACTCCGTGTCATCTAATTAAGTTGTTTTCCTCTACACACTGTACAGTGGGAGGCATTTTCACAGTAAGAATCCAAGCATGAGGCTCTTAATTGAGTATGCATTTGGCAAGCAGTACCAACCACCAAGGAACCACTAGAGTGATTAAGGACACATTATTTAGCTCATCTATTTGTTTAATGGTGGGGAAAAAAATATTTCCTTTTGTTTTTGACACAAGTCTCTCTCATCATCACTCGATGTCGCCACTATTATATGCATTACAGTGTAAAGTAATGACTGTCCAGTTAATCTCCCTTTCCAAGAGACATATTAATCCAGATCAGATGATAATAGTTGCTCATAATATACTTTGTTTTTTTATTGCAGATTTACTGATGCACAGCACATCTCTGATCAGCTAAATCTGATACATGTTTCCATAATGGTATGGCTAGTAATATCTCCTATTAAATATATACCAAATTATTTCATCAAGGATAATTAATTTCAAGGTGAAATAATTATCCAGGATCAGCAAAAGGAACTCAGAGAGCAGTTCTTGTGGTTCAGTCGTAGTGTCACTACCTCTAAGCCAGGGTGCCTGGGTTCAAGTCCTATCTTCTCCAGAGATGTGTCATAACATCGCTGAATAGTTTGGTCAGAAAATACCTAAGGGACTCATAGACACTCTTAATAGTTTGGTCTCACTAGCATGTTGCTGGCATAAATTCCTGACCACGTCATCTGGCAGTCAGCAGGAAGTGGTTCCCTGGCCAGTAAGATAGGAAAGGAAGAGCTGATGATGGGAATCAGACAAAATGATCTCTAGTTTGAGGGTAAATTTTGAAGAGTATGATTTTTATATGATCCCAGTGTAATGGGGAGGTTGGGGAAAGAGACTCAAAACAGGGGTAGTCCAATTTTGGGCCTTGAGGACCACTGATGTTCCTCTGTCCCACAATAAAACTAGAAGTAATACTTCATCACAACTCCTTCTCGCACAATCGGAGTTCAGGGTCCACTTTCCAAAATTGTTAGCTTGGCAGGAAAGTTGTAACTGCACCTCCACTCCTTGTTGAAATATCAGATTAATGATGTAGTTGGAGCTTAGTGACATCATTGAAAAGCAGTCAGCATATTTTAGTAAAGATCCCTCTGACTTTATGAAGACAGTGAATAAGTCATTTATTTGCAGCTGCCCATGCCAATCTTCCATCAGACAGAAGGGTGGTAGGCAGCATGGAGAAGCATAGGTTAAAAATTTTACAGCACAGAAGGCAGCCATTCAACACTTGGTGAGCATTCTGGTCTACTGCTAATCTCCTGCCATTTCCCTGTATCCCTGGACACTGTTTACTCAAATAGCCATGTAATGCCAACTTGAATGCCTCAAATGAACCTACCTCCACTGCATTTCCCACCAGTGCATCAGACTCAATCCACTCATGTTGTGAAGACATTTTCTTGCACACCAAATTTGCTTCTTCTACTAATCACTTTGCATCTGTGCCCGTTTGCTGTTGATTTGTTTATGGGTAGAGTACCATGCACCAAAGCTCCCTCTATTTTTTCTTGCTGCTGTGCAGATCTCTGAGGTCCATGCGTGACAATGCACATTGACCCACCAAGCAGAGTGCACAAAGCTTCCCACCAGCTGCACAGCCACGTTGTCAATGTTGCTGTGCATCTGGCTGGGAAAAGTCAACTTGTCGGCACTCACTTCAACAAAACAACGTGCATCATAACTGGAATGCTGCATTGAACATCCCATCCTCTTGCATTCAGTCCTCACAAGCATCATTTCCCCACACCTCCCCCAACAAAAAACACACACAAACTGGCTGAAACCATCCGTGCTGGGGAAACAGGTTGGTGGACATGGTCAGACAGGTGAGCCAGATCTTGGCTAGGGGAGAAGGGGCTCTGAAATTTTGTTGGCATTTCACATCAGAAAAATGGGCAGTTGCAGACAGGCTTTGCTTTCATTGTTTTTTTTTGACAAACACTAATTGTGAATACAAATACAGCCAGG